TACCTTCAGCCTCTTTAAGCAGCTTTTTTCTGGTTGTGCCAAAAAAACCCGGTTTTTTTCAAAAAACCAGGTTTCTCATTTTATCCAAGAATCATCATCATATTTAAACTATGTTAAACTTATATAGATCAAAGAAACAACTGCAATATGATGAAAGGAACCAGACACCTGTCCAAAACCCTGCCCTGACCACAGACAAACACACATTATTTTATCTCAAAACCCCTGCGTCCATCCAAATGTTCCATGAAGACATGAGATGTCTTTGTAGAGTTCGAAGAACAACAAGCCTCACATTGACTCTCCGCGATACGCGACTCACTCTTCCTATCGTGTCCTCATCTAATTGGCAGCTAGCAGTCAACGGATTCGTTCCGTATCCGTGGGTAGCACTTTCATTTTTCAAAGTCAACCAGGTATGCTGAACAGCATGGATCTTTGGAAACAAAGGAAATAGATGTGGGCGCTGCAAATGAAAGCATTCAGTAGCAAGAGCAGTATATGTCCTCACAAAAAACGTACCCCGCTCAGAGACATAGCGACTCTCAATCCCTTCCAAAAACAGAGGTGCATTGTAGAGAAAAGTCAAAGCAGCATTCAACTGTTGGGCAGCCTCCTTGCATCTGGGAAGAAAATTGTGAGAATCAACTGCAAGATCATCGATCAATGGTATCAACCATCGCGCCAAATTTGTTGTTAATGCGCCTTTAGACCAATTCCCCATCGCCCCTGGCCCATCACCATACGAAACCAGATAAGCAGATATTTTCGAAATATGCGAAGAAACCTTCACAGACCTGCACCACGAATGGTAATGGTTTGTAAGCCACTCGAAACGGTCTTCATTGTTTGTAGCAGGGACAACCTCCAGCGCAATCTGTAGCGTTGATGCTATGAGTGATTTCCCAACTCCAAGATGTATACTGTGCCACAGGTCTGGCTGTAGGAAAGAACCAGGGTGTGACTTGGGATATGGAAGAAGCCGCACAATGTTAGGCATAGTATCCCAGGGGGCTTGCACTCCAATTGTTTGAACCCAACGCGCGCCCTCACTAGTGTCTTCAAACGGTGTGTTCTGGGTCCCTGCCAGGCACAAATGGCAGACCCCTCTAGGAGCAGTTCGTTGTCTTCCACGCTTCACAGTTGTGTTCCATGAACGTTTCAATTTCCCAACCTTTTGAAGATAGGGCATGTCACCCTTGATCCCAATCACAGCGAACCTCCAAACTTCTCCAGTCACTGGATCAGTAATCCCAGATTCCAGTAGGTCTTTCAACTCTCTGGCCAAAATGTCCATCGTTTCATGAAAGTAGTCTGGGTTGGACTGGTACTCTGTCTTTGGAAGCACTGAGACAACAAATCGAGTCAAAAATGTATGGCCTGCAAAGTTCACCTGAAGTTTTCCAGTATCATCAGATCCATGTGGACGCTTTAACCTGTTTCGATTGAAACCGAAGCCCAAAACAGACTGTAGTGAAGTGACCATCAAGCCACCCCGCTTTAGGGTCCTGCCCTCATCTCCGTGGATGTAAAGACCTATTGTTCGCTCCCAATTCAGGCCCTCCATGTAGAAAACTTCCAAATCAGAATTTAAAGGCTGATATTGGGTCCAATTTTTTTTCCACGTTGTTCCAACAAGATGTTTCTCTTCATAGTGCAAGCCTGAAAGCATATAGAGAAGGCCATGGTTTACAATGTACTGGAACCATGCTTTGGGGCTAATCCATGGTAGACGTGTGTTCTGGACATTGATCTCAGCAATTGGTATGTCCAATCGTGTGCGTTGTTGGCCTGCAACAGAATGAACATCCCGCTCACTGTTCCTGTAATTGATTTTGGCCCATTGGTGGATACCTGACTTGTTTGCAGCATCCTCCCCCATTTCTGACGACACCGCGCGAGCCGTCTCAATCTGGGAAGAGCATGAAGCCTCAGCAAGATAAGGCGCAAGGCATGTGGGGTCAAAACAAAGAAAGAGTAACAAAGCAAAATGGTTTCACATTCAGTTGCTGTGCACTCAAATGGTTGGATCATCTTAACATTTCTTCAGACTTTGCCCCTACAACAACATAACGACCTGCATCCATGCAGAGTTTTTTGTCGACGCTGTAATCTCACAAGGCAGCTGTGATAGCACAGGTGTAAATGCAAACACGCATTTATTAATGCCTGCTCACACGTTGGATTAAAGAATTGAATTGCCAGCTCCCATGATAGCTGGATGTCAGTGCATCAAAGGGGGAATTGGAGGAGGATCCTTAAAGGATCTGTAAACTATGTAGGTCAAAAACGGACCATCACCTTCGAAGTCCTTGCCACTCGAATCGCCACCAGGCAAGATATCTTGCACCCCTTCAAACCTTGGTTGACATTCAACAGGTTCACAAGAAGAAATTAGAAAGTAAAGGAGGTGCCTAAACACAATTTGTGTAATTATCAACGTCTTTGATTCCTACAAGCCTTTGACTCTTTGTCCCTGCGACCCCATGGACTGCATGGCCGGGGCACTGCGGTACTTGTCAATGAGCGCTGCTTCGAGAAAGGCTGCCCCAACAGGGCTTGGGGATGCAAAGATAATGTGCATGTGCTGGTATTTCTCAACTGAGTGGGCATATCCATAAGGTTTGTGATACCAACGAAAAACAGCGCAGTGTGTAATCCCAATCTTCCAGATCATTGGAAAGTGTTTCTGGTACAGGGCCTCGAAAGTCATGCTTGCATGTGCAAGTACCCGGCCTGCTGTGGCCTTTGCTTTAGGAAGTTTGTAGGACATGTTCTTCTGTTTTTCGATGGACAGGAACACATCAGATGTACGGCTCAACGCCTTCAGATGTTCATCTTTCAAATATGGTGGAATCTCATCTTGGTCAAAACGTTGATAAGGGGTCCGGCTTCTAAAGCGAACTTCTGGAGTAACACCAAGTTCACCAAGGAAATCACCAAAAGCGACTTCTCTAGACTCCTTTCCACGATGTGCTTCTTTTTGCCAAGCATAGGGGCCCAACGACGCCTCATTATGACCACAAGAAAAAACTATCAATAAATCGAATCAGCAGCTATGGTCTATAGTAGTGAAGTCTTAGGCAGGATCTATAGGTGATCAGCCAAAACACTGGCCGGTGGCAGGACAAGAGTTCGATAAGCCAATCATCACCATCGCCATTGCTGGCGTCTTCGCTCGGCATCGCAACTGATCGATGCATTGGCTGGGTGTGTGGACAGGTTTGGGGATCAATTTGATTTCATAATCTTAGTCATTCTGACTATCCTTTCTTGTTGGTTATCTCCCCTTACTGACCTATCTAATGTTAGCATAATGTTTAAATGTATATAGATATGGTTGGAGAAAGTATGTCAGTATGTTGTCAAATGTATTCCCAACATTTCCCAACTTACTTGAGCAGAAAGGAAATTGGATAGCGGCCAAACATGGTTGCTCAAAAAACGTAATGTATCCCCATCTGAGGGAACGGCTCCTTGACCAACATGTTTGGCAAAGACTTTGGCAGTGGGCCCAGGGCCTGGCAAAGCGGGTAGTGGCACATAGTGTCCCCTAATGTCTTATGATAATTAATGGGAAAGGAGTTTTGAAAGGTGCAATAAAGTTGCTTTTTTTTGTCCATGTCGTAAGCCCCAAAGTCGTCCGAGATTTGGCCTGTTTCAGGCTAAGATATGATAATGTACTAAGTCCTGCATTGTCTCGTTGCTTCCTAATGCAGCCACCACATAAACAAAGCAATAGGCCAACATAATTCTGTACTAGTTCTTGACAGGTCAATGGGGGTTAGATGGTCTAAAAAGCCCTCTACAGTATAGCTCAAAGCTGCATCGGGCAATTTAAAGCAGGATTCAACCCCATAAGCAAATTTGACATATGTTGGCATTGTGTTTAAAAGAACACATCACCATCCCAAATCGGGAAAAAGCCCAGAAGTGGCACATCGGCCAAAGACTTTGGTTTCAGCTTGGCTTAAAGGAAACTAGCTACTACATCTACTGTTCATCCTTCACTTCCTTCTCCTTCTTGTTGAAGTGGCGCTTGGCATTCCTTGGCCAGGGTGCATCTAGGTTTATTTTGTCAAGCAACTATCCCAGAAAGAAAGAATCAACAAAATCTCGTTTCTTCAAACAGTATCTAAAAGCAATTCAAATTGCAACCTGGCACATTGATTTGCTTGGAACATCGCTGCATCTGAGGAGAAATGAGGACAACACCGGATCTTCGATTCGTTCTGCGCAATCTTTGTGCACCTTGGCGGGTTCAGAACGGTATGTATCCATATGGGGGCTCTTGAGTCATAAAGGGCGCTGTTCAGCTGATGGTGTTTAAATAAACCAACAAAGAGTAACAAGCAAGATGCACAAAAGATGGACATCTAGGTTGGATCCAAAGGCACTCAACAGTGCATGCCTTCATCATCAGCTCGGATTTCTTGCTCCACCTTGATCAACAAACAGGCTTTTATTCTTGGAGAAATCAAATATATTTTGAATGGCAGCAGGGTAGATCAAGGTATTGGTTTTGGACAACATGGGCACAATCCCCAGAGAACTTTCTTTTTTAGTTTATTTGCTACCCCTTTATTAGCCGGGCCACTCCTCACAGAAGTCAACTGTTTCTCCATGGGCCAAATGCTCTGAGCACTGGTTGAACTTGCCCTCCAGAGTGGTCAGGTCGGTCTTCAGGGCGGTGATGGACCTCTGCATTCTGGCTCTTGCACTAGGTTTGTGGGACAAAGTTGATGGAAGATAAATTATCTGACATATCCTGGCATATTTGTAAATTTATGTGTCTAAGACATTGACCTGGTTGCAGTCTCATCATCATAGTGCTTCTGCAGATCATGGACAAGTGAGCGAAGCTTCGCTGACTTGGCAAGTATGCTGTCACAGTACTTGCTCAAAACTTCCTTGCCACGAATCGCCTAAGTATGGCTTATTGGTAGGGCTGTCCAAGGTTTTGGAAGTTGGATTCTAGGCACCATACACCAATCACCCCGAAAGAAGCTGTTCAGAAGTCAAGTTTCAACTATGCTTGAACTTATCAAACTGTCGAACTAACCTATAAGTATTGTTTGCAAATAATCTGAGTGACCTGGGAACTGGCGACACATCCCAGACTTTCAGAAGCCTTTGCACGAGCATCCATAGCTGCCATTTGAGTCGAGTTCACTTCGCCAACAGGTTCGGACGATTCGTCCTCGCGATAGTTGGTTTTGTGACCCAAGTATTGGATTACATTCCTGCTATGTTTCATATGGACTAAAAGAACCCTCATGTTATGCTGACAATTTTGTTAGGCATCAGTGTCAGGAACAATTACAACATAGAAGTCCTTAGTGATCTCTATGCGTCTCTTCTTTTGCTCTCGCTCTTGGCCCTTCTCACCAGTTTCCCGCACTTCGACCCAGTACTCTGGCTCCCCTCCGTACTTGCAGTTCCTGCCACAACTTGAATCACATGCTTTCTTGATAACAAAGAAAACTGAAGACCATGTGTGATTCAACATTCATCACGATATATCAGGATCATTGTAATGGAAGCATTTGGGTGTCCAGCCTAACCAAGTGTTTCTCATCCTGCATGCACACCTGGATTGCGCCCTCAATCTTCTTCCTGGGAATGATGGGAAGACAGCAAGACTAAAACTTGAGATCACCTGTTTGGGTTGGCATGGTGAGATTGGCAGGGCATCAAGATATAACAAGTTTGGTCCAGATTCGGATTCCACTTCAGTGTGGTCTTCATATCCGTTTTGGAATACCACCCCACAGCAATCGTGTTCTTCTGGCGCTCGATCTCGGTCGTCGTCTTCTCGCACTGCTTGATGAAAGCCTCCTGCCAGGTTGACTACATTTTTCCTGCATGGATCCAATGGACATTGACTTCATCAAGTGATGCTTGGCCAAACGGTGGAAGATAGATAACAAAAAATGGGATTCCTTGTCGAAGTTGGCTTCTTGGAATTTCAAAGCCATGGCTAAATGATCTCCGTTTTTCCATTGGTTGTGGAGCCACTCGGGGACGTTCAAGCGTCCATTGGCTTTCTTCTCGCACAGTCTCCTCAACTTGGCCTTGATGGCATTCTTGGTCTTGATATCCTTGGTTTGTCGATATGGTGTTGTTATAGGATGTCAAAGTCACTAAACCTTAGTTAGGAGCTTTAGCAGCTTTAGGATATGTGCACAAACCAATTGCGGATTTGAAAGCAAATATGTACTGGACAACAATTGGCAAAGGGTCGAGGTGTTTGAAATCCTCACCTTCCATTTCCTCATCTGTGTCGCTCTCACATGTCTCCGTTTCTTTGGGACGTTTGAGTGAAGACCCTTGCGGAACTGGCGGAACCTTAGAAGAATCACCTGGCATCGGCTTCGGGGAAGGCGTACCCTGTGGGGACGTGGGCTGCGAGTTGATGTCTGACAGCATCTTCATTGCAGTAAGCGCATCCAACTTTCCGGCTTGGTACATCTTCACCACATCATCAGTAACCTCATCACTTGCCAACACATGGTATATAGTATATCATGTTGACAAAAAGTAGACAAATCTGTCACCACTCCCTGAGGCCTAAGAGAAACAAAAACGTAAAAGCTAAAGGCAATGAACAACACCAGGAAGATTAACACGCCGAGCCAAACAACTGATTTGGCAGAGCTTGGGGCTCTCAAAGTGGATTCCGTTGCTTGAGAAGGGGTCGGGGAAGGTGACCTCCAAGATCGTTCCTTTTCCAACTGGGTCTCCGTAGCAGGGAGGGTGTCCTGGTCGAAGACTGACTTCTCGGTGTCGGCTTTGGCTGCTTGAGGCGTTGCCTCAAGCGATGCTAAGTCATGGTGAATATGATATAAAATATGCAAACCAAAGTACGGGCATTTGTTGGAAAACATCACATTTATAAAGTTGGACCCCAACAAACTAACATAGAAGGGAAGTCTCCAGTCAAGCCACCACCTGCTGAAGAGCTGCCAAGGCTTTGTCCTAAGTGAAGATTGAAAGTAACTTTCACTTTTCCATTTCGACTGTAAGTTTTTTGTAACGTGATCTGATCTCCCTTACTTGTGGGATTGTTGCAACATGGGTGAGCTGAGTTCCCATCACTCTGTTGACGTGCCTCCAAATCTGCCAGGGTTTGCTCTAACTCCTGGCAGCGCGTAGGTAGACCCATTCACCTATGCCACAACAAGTGTTTTTTGGACGTGGGGAAGATAGACACAACCACATAAAGGCAACTTTTATCAAAATAGTTTAGAACCTTAGAGGGTGTCAAGGTCAAGATGAAAGGGTTACCCCATGCAGAACTCACATCTCCGCAACAAGCTGAGGAAAGAAGAGTCCTTCAATTGAGCCTCATCGTCGGGCAACTCGAGCCGCCCGTCTGTCAATAGATGGGCTAGACCATCCCCCAGCTCGGCTGTGCTCCATGCTCTGCTCTTGAAAGAGCAGGAAGTAGCCGACCGCATGAATGCCATGGGTTCTGAGCTACCAATTTGGATCACTACAATCCCTATAAAGCTTGGAAGCCACAATGGACCCATTCAGAAATGAAGATATTAAACATGAAACTTTGCTGTGCAGGCAAGACGTGTGATACATTGAAACGGCCACTTCATTTTCCATCCCAAAGCACGTTGGTAAGTGGGCATCTTTGCATATCCAACGTAGCAATTCTGAATTGGAAGCTGTTCCCCACAACATGTGCTACAAATGGGCTTATCAAAGCCTTGGATGGTGACATTTTTCTGGATAAGTTTGGATATATCCTGATCAAAACATTCAAAAAGTTCAATAAAATCATCAAAAAGTTAATGAAAATAGCACGAAAAAAAACCTAGGTTTTTCCCAAAATAACCCATAAAATTTTATGGGTAAATTACGGGAAATTATGGGTAAATTACGGGTCAATTACGGGTTACGTTTTACCCATAAAATTTTATGGGGTAAACTGGAAAAATACCTGTAAAAACCAATGTTTTACCAGGTTATTTTTACGTTACGGGGCATTACGACAATTATGGGTAAAAAGTATTGATTTTCAACTTCGCAGGTTTTCGAGCAATCGTCAAACCCGTTGAGCTGGAATATGGAACCATAAAACTATTGATTTGATTCCGCAAATTTCAACATTGTAACCTTTGGTATCGTTTGGTTCACAGCATCCCTTAAAGTTTTTTGGGCAGAAGGTCTTTCCAGTCCTTTGGAATGGACACATCCCTTCCCCCTCTGAGCCAGTGGCAAACGGAAACTACGTCCGCTTCCTGCCACAGATCATCATAACTCATGCTGGCGAAGGTTTCCTTTGCACAGGGCAAATCTTTGGGTAGTGCAGGTAATCCTGATTTCTGGGCGATGAGATCATCATAGATCATGACCAACTTCTTGCCAAAGTCAGCTGGATAATTCCTAGGCAAACGGTGATAGAATATAATTAGAAGGTACCAGGTGTATCATCAGTGAAGGGTTTCTATTCAAAAAGATGCTTAAAAGATCTGAAAACACTTGTGTGTTGCATCAATGCTTGTCAGCAAGTGGGGCCCGGACTCACTGGCCTTAAGAGCTGGTGCCCCTTTGTAGCGGCGTTGGTTCTTTTTATCAAAGTACTGGATACAAGTTTGCACCCGTGGGGCTCCAGCCGCTTCTTGGGCTTTCATTTTCTGATCCCAACCCTCCAGTCGCCCCAGGTTGATCCTTGATATCGCAGGGCTATTGCTGTAGGCAACATGCCGCTTAGGTGTGGGACCACCATACATAGCCATCCACCAGCCCACTCGTTGCACCTAAGATAGACCCGGGGGAGAAACCATTATAAAAGAAAATGATACCCAAATCAAATTCCACAACCACTCAGCCTGCCAGCATCCCCAAGGTATGCAACCCCTGGATCTGAAGATGGCATTCCTGCTGTTCGCTCAAGACCGCTACCTGCTTCAAAGTTATGACAAGGGGCGGTATGACGGCCTCCAATTTCCATCAGCTTTTGGGTAAAGTCTCTGAAGCGCTGGTAGTATTCAAACATGCTATTGCACCTAAGATAGACCCGGGGGAGAAACCATTATAAAAGAAAATGATACCCAAATCAAATTCCACAACCACTCAGCCTGCCAGCATCCCCAAGGTATGCAACCCCTGGATCTGAAGATGGCATTCCTGCTGTTCGCTCAAGACCGCTACCTGCTTCAAAGTTATGACAAGGGGCGGTATGACGGCCTCCAATTTCCATCAGCTTTTGGGTAAAGTCTCTGAAGCGCTGGTAGTATTCAAACATGCTATTGCCAGGCTGTTCAAGTATGAATGTCCCATTGAGACAAACCACCAGCGCCAACAATAGAACCACCCTTAGATGTTAGGCATTGGAGAAATTGGCCAACCATGGGCAGGAACATGTTTTTATGTTTCTTGATACCACCAAACATTTTGAAGACTGGGAGACATAAACAATGGGGTGCATAAACAAAGGTTTTAATTTGAAGACACCAAGTTTCCGACTGGCGAGGCAATTCCCTTCAAGCACACTAGTGTAATGAAAATTACCATAGGGAGTGCAGGGAGTTCTACCAGAGGTTCCAGCATTGACAGGGGAAAAGCTGCTACACTTCAAGCCGAAGTGAGAGACAAATCCATTTATGTGATCTCCAAGAAGCACCGTGGATACAGCTAACCTAGGATGAGAAGTTTGAGGGCCCACCAAGGAGGATGCATCTAAACAATACCATATAGGATAAAGAATAACTTTTGGAAACCAAATTGAAGATAACACAGGATACATTGCTTGGATTGGCTCAGAAACCCCATGCCCGCATCTGACAGCAAATCCATTGGGTTCATCTCGTTTGGTTTTGGCTGCATGTACTCGATGTCCAATTTGGCTGTTCTGTAGTGGGACTCATGAAACATTCTTGTAGCTTCCGCCTTCCCCGCAAAGAATTCCATCCATTGCAGGGGTGCCGGTTCCTTTCGCAGGGGTAATCCTAATTCTACATCATTTTCTGGTAGCAGCCCCAAAAAGATAAACATTAATCATTAACCAATGTTATCGTTACAATCAGGTTCCCAAAAGAGGCCTGTAGGCCAGACCTCGCTAATGTGCCTGGCTCCGTCCAAATCACAAGCAGAGTCAGGAGCACCATTGCCTGGGCGAAGGGACGCATAACACACCCTGGGAAATATATTCTAAGGGTAGGTGCTTAAGCTAGTGACCATTTTTTCCATCAGTGGGAATGTACTTGTAACATGTTGTAACATAATTTCTTTGATATAATTTTGACACCATTGCATGCTAGGGACCTTCGGAACTCCCATTTGGTTCATCCTCCAGACAAGGGCATCCACAAACTGCTTGGATCGAGCCATAGCACCGACTAACCCGCGCCAGAATCCCGTGAGGGAAAATTGTATGGTGTTGGGGATATCAAACCATTTTGCAAATTATTTTAGGTTAAATCTAAAAGCATATCAGTGTATATAATAATCAATGAGCTTTGAACCAGAAATTTCAGACCCGGCTGCCAAATGCATCTTATTTGGGATTACTTGGGATACTTTGGTTCACTAGGAATATCTTAAGTTTGGAATTGTCTAGCATACATTCTTGAAAGCTAGTTTCCCCTCTGCCACCTTGGTTTGAACCCAATGAGGCAGCGTGGGCTCACAACGCTGCAAATGCTTCAAGCCGGTCACGCAACATAGCTGCAACACAACCCATGAGGTTCCAAAAAAACAATCTCCTGGAAATGTTTTGTTTGACTTGGAATCGAATCCTTATAGAATAAGGGATAAGCAAATAAAAACACCAAGGTAGACTCCAACTAAAACTTTGGAAAGCAAAGCATTCCGTGGCAGAAGTAACCAGAAGGGCGATGGCAAGACTTGTGTTTGCAACTCTTTCTGGCCCACCTCAAATTGTGAGTAGGAATCGAAAACATGTCAGTGGTTCGGGGCTTGCTATCCAAGCCCAACTTCACAGCCCACTTCTGAGCTCGCCGTGGCCGAGGCATCTTCCATTTGCTCTGGCCTCGGCATTGCCGGCATGAGTAAAGATGCTTGGATAACGGGTGCAGGTGGAGAAGGGTCAGAGCCATAAACTGGGTATTAACTTGAACTGTAATGTGGTATTGCCATGTAATGCCGTCAATATCCACCAATTTGTTTTTATGTAAACTAATGGCCATGAATCCAAACAACATCTCTAAGAAGCACATCAAATATATACTGTAACTGATAGATGGGATGCATAATCATGCAAGTGGGTACAAGGTCTTCTGGGGAAGGTAGATGTTGCCTTCCAATCTTGGCCATTGACTTGCCAGTGTTATGTAGGATCTTGGCATGAACAAACCATGATATATGGGGGCCATATGCAGGGATGGGGTGAAATTTCCATGGCCCCGGACCAACCTTTTTCTCTCTAGCGGTGAGGTTCACCCCACAGGCTTCGATGTAGCTAGCGCTTATCAAGATTGAACGGCTCCACAGGTAAATTGGTGATCCTGCGGACAACAGCCAGCTCAATCGTCCCACGCATTCGCATCTCAGGTTTCACTGAGCAACTACGGTCCCCGCATTTTTGCCAAGCACTGGTCTGCACTGAGGCTTGGGCATGACAAACATTGAAATTAATGGAATAACCTTGAATTTATGTGAACCAAAGATGGAGACTAGCATTTGCCCATTGAAGGTGCAACAGGTATGCTATCCAGGTGACGCTACATGATTTTTAGATTATGTTCAGTCCTCCAGCTGACATTTTTTGAGAATAATGATCTTAAGTTTCAAGAGATGGCCCACCCTGATCAGTGCAGAGTCTAAAGCACTATAGGCAAACATCAAAAAATGGTCTCATCCAGACCCCGTGAACGCTTCCAAAGCAGCGTTGGCATTGACCTTGATCCTGGCCATCTCGTACATGACAGGCCCAAAGGGCTCCTCGTATTCAAGCAGGATGTCATCCGTTTGGGTCTCCATCCACGAAGCCTGGGCCAGCAATGCGAAAGGGCTGGAAAGGATTTCGGGAGACAAGACAGGGAATTGACTTGTTTTCTTCAAACCAATGTTTCAGGTGTAATTTGGGCGATGTTGAAAAGCAATGGATGGAATCCAACTGGCAACAACAGAATTAAACATTGCTAAGCAACCATGAGATAGGAGGAGATGAAAGCAGCAGCCATACGGGTGTTCCACGTGCCGATCTTGTAAGAGAATCTGGAAGAATCGGGTTTTGATGGGATGAGCTTGAAGCGGACAGCAGCAGCTGTCTGGGTCCAATACACATTCAACTCACACTTGTCATTGGGGAGGTCAAGCTTCTTATTGCACAGGTAATCCTTCAGTTCATCAACTGTCATGCTCTTCACTTCTTTCAACGTTTGGGTAATGACTCCTACCATCATCTTGTCATACATCACATCAACCTGGTTCATCAACTCGGGAGGGGGGCTCGACGGCTTTTCCTTGTTTTTTTCTTGGGCTGTGGCTC